GCATTTGTTACGATCCTGTTTCTCAAAATTTGCAAAACCGATTGTTCGAGCTTCTACCACTTTAAGTTTCATTTGAAATTGATGTGTCATTATTGTGTCTTAGTTTTTTAATATTAAAAAATATATTTAATATTTACTTTAATTAAATTATATATATTTTTAATAAATAGAAAAACCTATAGTCACGTTACCACACAACATTCTCAAACAAAACTTTAATCTTAAAATGTGTTTTCTTTCAATCATTTTTTTTTTTTGCACGGTAAAAGTGAACTTTATTTACTAGAGTGCGAGGGGTACTCATGCCCTTACTACAAAATTCAATCACAATACAGCCAACAAATCAACTTGCTGAAACCCCACAGACCCATTCAGCGATAAAAACAGCAGTAGAATTGAAGCAGAGGTTCAGTAAAACATACCAGTCCATAACATAGAAAAGTCCCTCTATTCAAGTCCCGATTAATTACTTCGTTTGGCTTTTAAGCTTAAAGCTGGCTCCAACATCCATTCATAAAAATTAAAGGAGTAGATACTTGCCTTGCCTTTAATCCAGTAGAAAGTTCTTAGCTGCACCAGTTCAAAGATTCTGTTGGGGTCATTCTCGTGATTTCTGAATGTCTTTGCATTTCTTGCCATCCAAAGAGACCATATGACAGAGAGCCACACCACGTCCCAACCTGTTCTGACCAGTGGATCTTTAAAGTATGAGTAGTGTTGCTCGAAGGATTCATAACATGTTTCAGGTAGAACCGATCGTGTCCTCCACCATTGTAAGCATTTATACCATACCAAGTGGGCCACTTTGCAGTGGAGAAACAAATGGTTGCCGTCTTCCGCACTTTCACCGCACAAGCCACACATCACTTGGTTGATATCAGTTATGATGCCTCTTTCATATAAGTTCATCTTAGTGGGGATTCTGTCCTGCAGGACTTGCCACACAAAAGCACTGATTTTTGTAGGAATAAATTTGCTCCATATCCTTCTATATATCCATGCTCTATTTTCCCCATTGTTGCTAGAAAGAAGGTTGTAAGCTGTCCTTACTGTGTAAACTCCATCTTTGTCATGCCTCCAATCCCAGCAGTCTTTTTGATGTTGGACAGGTTTTGAGTGATCAAGTAGACCCCGAAGCTCTGTAAGTTTGTCTTCCTCCCACACATATAACGGTTGTCTCCATTGTAGTGACCGATGCCATCTTCCCTCCCTCCGGTTGCCCATTTGATCTATGCTTTTGTCATTGTCTGTAGAACTAATGAACAGTCTAGGAAATTGGTTAGCAAGAGGTTGGTCCCCTACCCACACGTCCTTCCAGAATTTGATTGATTTGCCCTCCCCCATTTTTAGTTTGAATCCCTCCGAAAGCCATCCCCTATTATTGAAATCAATGTGGTCTATCCTACAAATATTCTTCCACCATGAAGACCCCCTTTGGGCTCTCTCTTGTACCCACTCCAGCCATTTACCATCTGCACTTCCATATTTATCCTTAATAATTCTATACAAAAGACCCTCTTTCCCACTTGCAAGTCTACTCCACCATTTTCCCAACATTGCAAGATTAAACCTTCTAAGGTCTCTAACACCTCACCCTCCCTCTAGTTTGTTTTTGCAAACTTTGTCCCAACACACCCATTTAATCTTTCTCTTGCCCTCCCAACCCCCCCATAAGAAGTTCCTACGAATTTTATCTAAGGAGAGAATCAAACCTTTTGGTAGTCGGTGCACAGTCATGAGGAAAACTGGGAGACTAGACAACATGGAGTTGAGGAGTGTGATCCTTCCACCAAAGGAGAGAAACCGACCCTTCCATAAGCTCAATTTCTTCTTAAAAGTCTTAATCAAGGGTTTCCATAAAGCGATGCTTTTACAACTACCTCCTATAGGTACTCCAAGGTACTTGCTGGGGAACGATCCTTGTTTGTAGTTCAACATGTGGGTCATTTTTGACATCTAATCATCTGAAACATTTATACCCATAAGCTGGCTTTTTTGGAAATCAATCTTCAGCCTCGATACCAACTTGAAAGTTCTCATAATACACTTTGTTACCCATATATTTTCTTCCACAGCCTTGCCAAACAAAATTGAATCATTTGCAAACTGTAAATGGGATACTTTCATGCTTCTTTTACCAACTCTGATCCCTTCAAAAAGTCCACAGTTCACTGTTGAGGAGATGATTCCGTTGAGGCCTTCAACAACTAGTAGAAAAAGGTAGGGTGAGAGTGGATCCCCTTGCTTAAGGCCTCTGTTGATTTTGACTTGTTTGGTAGCATTGCCGTTAAGCAAAATTAACACCTCTGCTGTCTTCAAGCATTTGTTGATCCATCTTCTCCATTTCGTCTTAAAGCCCATCTTTGACATCATGTGCTCCAAAAACTCTCAACATACTTTGTCATATGCTTTTTCAAAATCCAACTTAAACACAAAGCTTGCCTTCTTGTTTCTCTTTGCTTCATCAGTTGTTTCCTTGGCAATAACTATGCTGTCAACCATTTGTCTTCCTCCAACAAACGCCATCTGGCTTTCTCCAATAATGCCATCCATCACCAAACTAAGCCTATTGGCAAGGAGCTTTGCTATCACCTTGTACATTACCCCAATTAGGGAAATGGGTCTAAACCCCTCAATTTTTTGGGGGTTAGCAACTTTGGGGATCAACACAATGAAAGAGCTATTCACCCATCTGACTAATTTCCCATGTTTATGAAAATCTTCCACAAACCCATGATGTCATCTTTAATTGCTTCCCACATTTCTCTTATAAATTTGAAGTTGAACCCATCCGGTCCTGGTGCTTTAGTACACTCACAGCTCCACACTGCTTGTTTCACTTCTTCTTCATTGAAAGGTTAAAGCAACATTGAATTATCTTCCTCTGTTATCTTCTTGAAAACTATCCCATCAAGGTGGGGGCACTGCCATCTGTCTTCTATGTACAACTTCCCAAAGTAGTTGGCCACTCCTTCCTTCATCTTGTTAACTTGCTCTAAGTAATTATCTCCCACCTATAAACCTACTATTTCATTCCTTCTCCTTCTTCCTTTGACACAATTATGGAAGAATTTAGTGTTCACATCCCCCTCTTTAATCCATGCTTTTCTAGCTTTTTGGCGACAAATGCTTTCCTTTATTTTTTGGTGTTTCCACAATTCTAGAAAGCTATTCCTTCTTAGTTCTATGTCTTCAACAAATAGAGAAGTCACCTCCCTTTTAAGATCAATGGCAGCAATAGATTCCACACACTTTTGTATATTCAAATGTACTTTTGAAACCATGTTTTCGCTCCAGATCTTCAAAGTTTTCTTTGTTTCCTTTAGTTTTTCTTTCAATCGATATGCATTCCACCTTGTGACCTCCGTCGATCTCCACACCTCGCCCACAAGATCCTTAAACTCAAGAGAGTTGATCCACGCATCAAAGAATCAGAACGGTTTCGAGCCCCAATCAACTACATGATTTTTTAGCAAGATTGGGCAGTGATCCGATTTTGTTCTCTTTAACCCCCATTATTTGACGTCCCCCCAATTGACACACCATTCTTCAGAAAGCAAAAACCTATCCAGTCTGCTCATTACAGTTCCATTTGATTGATACCATGTAAATTTCTTGCCTATAAATGGAAGATCAACCA